ACTCACGCCTCAGAGAAAATTTTTAAATAAGGTAAGATACCAGAAACATGAAAAAAATGTTTAAAAAATTCACTGTCAAAAAAATTTGACATTTATTTTTTGACATTTGACATTTTTTATCTATTTAAGGGTATTGATGATCTTGTATGTGTTTTTTTTACAATTATTTAGTAAAGGGACAAAAATTTTGCCAATAATAGCCACAAATAACATTGAACAGAGTTACAATTTAGGATACAGCTTCCTTGTTTCCTCTTTTAATAGCCTATAGCAAAAAAACTTGTAAATTTATTTTTCCAACAGAAATAAATAGAGTCAAAGTGCAAAATTTAAAGCCTCATAACTTCGAAATTTTTATAGATAAATTTTTTTTTAACATTTTTTACATGTTCCTGGTATCATCTTACCTTATATGGCATTTTTCTCGGGGGCGCGAGTTCTGGCGCACCTGTATATATAGATTACAGTGGCATACGCCAAAATGGCTAATTAATGTCAACACTAAATGTGTTACCGGCTTATTATGTCAAGAGCTCACTGAAATAATATCAATAATTTTAAATTTGTAAATGAACTTTCCACAATGCATAGAGCTAATCCATAAAGTGCTGAACCGCAATTTTCGCAGAAGCTAAGTGTGTTTAGTTTGAAGGAATTAAAAAATGCCATCATAACAAATAAAACTATAATCTTTATAATTTCAATGATTTTAGCTCAATTTTGTTTATAAGGTCTTACACGCATGTAAGAAAAATTCCGCGTGGGTTTATAAAAGTAATTCAAAAATTTGTGTCATAATTCTAATCACGAATACTCCTCTACAAATGAGCTTAGATAGCACAATATTTATTAATCCAACTCATCAAGCAATAGAAAAATTACAGCTTTTATAATCATCAAGAAATAAACAAATGTTCCTTTGGATTTAATGAAATTTACATTAAATATGACAGCATTGACAGCGATGTCATTCGTAGTGGATTGTTTCCAAGGTACGCTCAAAATTTATAAATTCTGATTTTGCAGCGCGGTGTAGAATTTAGTTTAAACTCAAATAACTCGAGAACGGTACATTTTGGCGATATGAACCTACCTTTTTTATAAAAAAAAAATGATTGGGCTGTATCAAAAAGAGAAATTAATAAGCCGAAAAAAAGTTATGATCCCAAAACTAGGAGAATCCATTGCTACCGGAAATGTATAGCTTCTACAATACTTCCGTTTACACCAAATCAAAAAGTGTCTTTTTGTCTTTTAACATGCAAAATTTAATAATAATCGGATAAACGGTAACAAAAATATTGAAAATCATTTTCTCATACCGGTTTTTGGAAAGATGTAATTTCTCTATTTTTTGAGGTGGGTCAATAAATACTGTACTATCTATTCTCAATTGTAGAGGGGTATGCGTAATTAAAATTATGCCACACATTTTTTAATCAACGATATAAAATATCGTTTTTACTTATATTAATTTAATTTGAATTAATTTATTTTGTTAATTATTAGTGGGCATAAATGATAGAAAAATGTGGTGCAGATAAACGAAAAGAAAAACAAAAATTAAAATTACAAGCAGCCTCTGAAGACGTTCATCTAAAAATTTATTTTCGTTTATTAAACCATCATGATTTCAATTGACGTCACAATCTCAATAGAGGAAACAAACTTCTTCAAAAAAAAATTACTACATTAAGTGACAAGTAGTTTTTATATATATTTTTAGTGTATTGTATATTGGGCCCTCATTTCAACTTAGCACTCCATATAAAAATTTGCCAGTCCGCCCCTGTATACATAATGCCTTAACTGTGTTAAGGGCACTTCCAAATTAATAAAGTCACAACAAAAATATTTTGTGATAATTTCGTTAACAATAATGTAATTGACAATGCCTTAATGTCAAACGCTTGTGTTTCAAAGATCAATCACTTACTAACTTCTGAAACTAGATAATTTAGTTAGAAACACTCAAACTGTTAATACCTTTCGCACCAAAACTAGACAATATTTTGCGACAAGAATCGTCTAATATTATCTATTTGATGTTGTATTTTTTATTAGCAGTTTAATTTTCTTTTTACTAAGGTGCTTTAGAATAAACTACATAAAACTTAATGAATTCAATTTTTCTTTTTACGAGTTACAATTTTAGCAAATGTTGCAAAAGATAAAATGACTGCAGATAGCTGCAATCTTTTGAACTATTTCAGATATAAATTTTTTATGTTTTTTAGATTAAACACACTGCACACAAACAGTTAAGCATAAAAAACTGATAGAGTAAAAGAAATGCATACAGGGTGAATCTTAAATAGACCGACAAAATTTTATCACAGCTTCCTAAGGATAAATGGAAACAAACTGTACCATTTTTACGTTTACACCTTTTAGGGGCAAAACCCCCTTCATCCGTGCCACTTACGGCGTTTATGAATTGTTGCAATGATCAAGTACGTAAATACCATGGTTTCCACTATCTGTGCGAACACATCAGTGGCGTACGTTTTACTTCGAAAATAACTTTAATAAATTTTATTTGAAGAACGTTTAAACAAAGAATTTTTTCAATATTTTTCCCAGCATGTTCTTATTTTATACTACCAAGGATAACATTTTGTCGGTCTATTTAAGAATCACCCTGTATACAGGAGTCCCAACGAATTGAAAGAGCCTATTAGTGACGTTTAAATGGTAAAATTTTAAAAAAATATATAGGTCATTGACTAATCTAGTCCATCGTCTAAAATTATTTTCAACTATACAGCGTGCCTCAAAAGAAGTTACAATACAAACTTGTGTTTTTTCAAATAAAACACTATATGTTTCTTAGCGTTTTTGGATGTAGATTTTTATGATAATCTTTTTAAGGTAAACTTTCATTGGTTGATTTTGCTTTTTAAATTTTATTGCACTAAGACTAAGACATCTAGAAATATTTTTTACAACCGCAAAGAAGAAGGTACAGGCTATAAGATTGTAACATTTTTTTAGTGTATTGCAGTTGCAAAGATCAAAAAATAAAGGCGTTTGTTAAAAGTTCAATAACTTTAAAAAATTAAATGGAACACCCTATTTATTGTCTTTGCATTTAAAAGATTATTAAATTGGCTTTCTAAAATTATATTACTTTTAGGTGTTTTTAATCAATAACTAAAAAGATATTTAACGTTAAACAATTACTATTGTTTCAGTAGGCAAAAAGTGTACAGTTGCACAAGAGATGGAAGAAATATCACTTAATAATCACATTTATGTTAATATCTTTTCATTTATCAGTTCTGGACATTAAAAGTTTATTTTTTTATATAGACAATTTATCAATCTATTAGATACAAAAATAAAAAATAGGGTGTTCCATTTAAATTTTTTAAGTTTTTTAACTTAATTTATGAATCTTTACAAATGCAAAACACTAAAAAATTGCTACAGCTTTAAATTTTGTACTTTCTTCTTAGCAGAAGTAAGCAAAAATTTGTTCTAGCTGTCTTAGTTTTTGTGTAATAAATTTTTAACAATGCACCTTTTGGTCAAAAAAACGTCTTATTTCTAAAACTAAGCAAAATCGACTAATAAGAGACTAGCGTAAATACTTTTTTTTTAAAGTTTCATCTAAAAATGCCAAGGAACATTCGGTGTTTCATTAAAAAAAAAACAAAAGTTTGTATCGTAACTTATTTTTGGGACATGCTGTATGGTGGGAAATAATTTTAGGTGATACACTGGATTAGTATCAGTCAATGCCCTATACAATTTTACCTTTTAAAGGTCATAAATGGACTTTTTATGGGACACCCTGCATTGTTTTCTTCAAATTCTATTAAAAATTAATTACTTTAACAAGATACTAAAGTAGAAACACGAGTATAATAAGTAATCACCATAAGGCAGATTTTTAAAGGGTTGAAGAAAGCATATACAATTAACCACTTGACTCGATGAAGCACCGTTGCGAAATTTATTATTTACCGATAATTGGTCCGCTGTAGCATTGACGTAGTTTATTAAATTTAAAATAATATTAACTAAAAAAAAAACAAAACATTCTTTGTTCCACTATTGAAATAATAAAAAGGTAGCAATTAAATTGAAGAAAACTGTGATGGAAATAAAAAAGTGAGTTATTGTTTTTATTCTATTTTAGTCAATAATAATCATCTTTATACCCCCAAATGAGGGCATAAATTGGTTTTTATGGCACAGATCTGTAAAAAATCTGGCAAGCAACGGTTGGTTTAATTATTCAAACAATGGTATTAAAATTTGTCATATTCTTTCACATACAAATCCTTTGATTTATGCAGAATCAATTTTCCCTGAGCAGTTTCAATTCGTTCTCCGGGCTTTAAACATTTCCTCATGCCATAATCTCCTAATTATGCCATTAATACATAAATAATTATTATTTACGACTATTAAATTATAACGTTTTTGTAGGCGTATCCACATCGATATTAATAAATTCACAGAATATAAAGTCATATCGTCTGAACGTAATGTGACCTTTTTATTAATTATTAAATCTAAACGTCACCAAAAATTGAAAATATTTCATAGTTGTAGGTAAAGCATAGTATTTTACTCAAATATAATGGCTATTACTTATTCAGGTGAGTAAAAAGTTTTTCTGAGATTTGTTTTTTAAACTTCACCTTTGTGAATAATAGCCATAATTATAATTATGCTTTTTGAGGTTTATGTTATTTTAATCTACATTATTTTTAGTCATTTAGTATTTAACAAATAACTTGATTCTATGTTAAAATTTTTTATTTCATTTTAAAGATCCGTTTTTACAAAAACAGTTATTATAAACTGAAAATTTAGAAATGAAATATTAACTGTTATCTTTTATTATTCGATGCCTCACTAAAGTAAGGTATCTTAGTAACATTTTAAATTAATTACTAATTGCATTTATAAGAATTACTAGTCTAAATAAATAAAATACACGAAAAAGTTCCATTAGAAACCAGTTTATTTCAAACATAACGTTTAAATTAAAATCCAAGATTACAACGTGCTGAAGTTAATTTTTTCACCGTGTCTTTTATCCACTTCTTATAATATGATAACCTTATAAATTCTTCAGCGTGACTTGACATACACTTAGCATCATAAGGAATTATTCCAACTAATTCTTTATCAGTATTTATAACTGGTCCCCCAAATGTGTTAACACAAGGATTGCTTGGATTTATGTTTTTAGCACAAAAAGTACCTTCAGTACTATCACAAAATCCTTCTTCAGAAGTAACAGTTAGAAGTTCTTTCATGAATGCATGTTTTGCTCCAGTATCAATGTAAATTGCAAAGACAATAGCATTTTGACTAATTGAGCCTATGCTAATAGGTAAATTGGGTTTAAGAGTCATAATACTTAGCATAATGCTAAATAGAGTTGGCTGTTTTAAGTAGAGCAAAGCAAGATCAGGGGAATCACATTCGTCTGCGTCAAATTGTGGATGAGTTATAATATTTTGTACTTTATACTTGTTTGGAAAGCTTTCAACGTACATTTCCGAAAATATTTCCTCTCTACAACAATCGAACTTTAAGTAAAATAAAAGTTTTTATTAGAATTATTACAATTTCAAACCTGTCATACACGAAGCAGCTGTTAAAAAAACTCTTTCGCTCACAAAAGAGCCACCACAAAAATTACGGTTATTTCCATAACCCAAAGTTGCTATGAATGGATAGTGGTTCAATTTTACAATCTCTTAAAGTTGGTAGTGCTGTAATTACAATGTTTTACTGATTATGAAGTAACCTACCTGGCAAACAAGAACTTAATAGAGACAAAAATACTGTTAAAAGCAACATTTTAATGAGAAGTTGAATTTTTTTGGGTTCTTTTATATAAAGTACTTAAAAAAAGCGGAACAAATGGCACCATAAACTGGTTTTTATTGTAGAGATAAATGTTTTACTTACAAAAATGTAACCATACAGAATAATACCAAATTAATGATACCTGTGATTGTGATGTGATTTTTTTCAAGTATGTACGTTATTACTCAATCAAAAATATCATAAACTTGTTTTATTACCCTACGGACATAAACGTGACAATTTGCACTTAAACATAAAAAATTTCTAAAATTGTCTTTAAAGATTTATATCTATGACATTAGAAATGAAATGTGTCTTGAGGAGAGTTAAACCAAGGTAAGAATGCCAGTTCCTCATTAATCCATTCTTTGTAGCTTGAAAGTCTGACAAATGGTTCAGCGTGTCCTGAAGAACAGTTTGTTTTGGGATTATAAGGAATGATGCCAACAATATATCCACATTTTTTATCAATAAGTGGTCCCCCAAAGTTTTTGCCACAGTAGCTGCCTGTTTTCTTATCAGTAGCGCAAATAACACTCTCAGTACTTGCGCAGAAGTCAGCTTCAGAACCAACAACTTTTAGCTCTCTGTCATGAGCAGTTCTTTTGTCAGCATTTAATTCATAAGCAACAACATCAGCATTTTTACTAACTGAACTCGATTGAAGTGGTTTAGTGAAAGTAAAAGTGAAAATGCTGAAAATGATGTTGAATATTGTGGGTTGTTTCAAGTAGAGTAAAGCAAGATCATTGATGCCAGGCTTGCTGACGTCAAACTCGGGATGTACTTTGAAATTTCGCACTGTATATGTTGGTGGAAAGCCATTAACGTGAACTTCTATATCTTTGTATTGTCTACAACAAACACAATCTCAAACTAATAAAAAGGATACAATTTACGCAATTACATGTTATTCTCAAGCCTTGTCATACAAGAAGCAGCTGTTAGAACAGTTCTTTCATTAAGTACCAAAGTTCCACTACAAAAATTGCGATGATTTTGGTAGCTCAAAGATACCAAAAACCAGAGTTCGTTCCATTGGATGGTGGCTTAAATTACAATAAATAATACAGTAATAAATCATCATATATTTAACATTACTTACCAGCTAGACAATAGCTTAGGAAGGTAGAAAATGTAACTAAAAGCAACATTTTAATGACAAACGCAAACGTAGCTTCAGTTCTTTTATACTTTGTTTTGAAGAGTTTTGCGTGATAATAATAGTGCAATAAACTTGTTTTTCTGAAATATTCGTGACAATTTTCTCATAAATATAAAAGTTAAACCGACACTACAAAAACTTATTAGATATTTAAAATGTGGTAAAAAATTCACAGAATGACGAATCGGTTCATTTAACAGATTAAATTTTCCTTTTACGAGTTACACTTTCAAACAATGTGTTGGTGCAAAGATTAAGTGACTGCAGCTAGCGCAATGTATGCATTTTTAACTATTTACAATTGCTCTGTATTAGACTCAGTTTGTCTAGGAAGAAAAATTAAAATGGCGATATTTAAAAAATCGTTGTTTTTACTAGAAATTCAAAACATAAAATATGTTGGCAAGCAGTGGGTATAGAAGATATTCCATTATAGCAATCAAATATTTCAAAGAGACTTTTTACTTTTATATAGGGATACCATTACATTAAATGAATTGAAGGCAAATACCATCAAAATGCATGCTCAGGTGAACTTAACTTGATTGATCAAACTGTGAGAAAATATCGTATGAATAAATTTCTTTAATGGAGACTTTTTGCGGCAATAGTTGTTACCTTTAATATTAGTTAAAACCTTAAAGTCAGTATAAATACTAACATAGTTCAGTTAGACATGAATCAAATAGTTTTTAACATTACTAGGATACACCACGCTTGGTCCAAAAGTCTGGAAACGATTTTATTCTAGCGAAACTATCTATTTTTCTGGCAAATAAATTTATAGGTGTGCAATGGCTATATAAATGCTATTCAAAAAAAATTCTGAATATTAATTATTTGTTGATACTTAGGAGATAAACATAATAACTTTTTTTTAATGGAAACCTACCACAATTTTTTTTTTGACAACGAGCTTGTTACAAGAATTGTTTCCATGCAATTTTTTTTGTAAACATCACACTTTTTTGTTAAAAAAAGAAGAAGAAAGTTTTGACAACAGATAAAGTTTATAATTTTTTTAACATTGATTGTAACATCTTTAATAACTATTTTTATAGATTTATAAACTGCATAAACATATTTTTGTAAAACAATAAATAAAAAACCGTTTTTATTTAAGAAAAAAATTATTAGTATCATAATCTCAAAAGTTTAAACAATTAATTAAAATAATTTTTTTTTCATCGCTCCTTTACAACCTTTAAACATTTATTAATTTATTTCCAAAAAAAACTAGTCGTTTACTCCAAAAAAATTATTTCATTCTTGTTAGCCAAATATTTTTTTTACAAAAAAGTGTGAGGTTTATAAAAAAAATTGCACAGCAACAATTCTTGTAACAAGCTCGCTGTCTAAAAAAATTGTCGTAGGTTTCCATTAAAAAAAATGTTACTATGTTTATTTCGTAAGTATAAACAATTAATTAATCTTCAATTTATTTTTTGAATAGCATTTTTATAGCCATTGCACACCTATAAATTTATTTGTTAAAAAAATTAATAGTTTCGCCAGAATAACATCGTTTCCAGAATTTTGGACCATCCTGTAGAGTAATTTCATACCAAAACGATAACTTTCAAAACTCATTGTTTCTGATTTTCGTAAATTTCAGATATGTTATAGAACGTATAGATAATTTCACCGTTTTTTATTTTTTCAATGTATGTTGAAAAAACAGGGATGTACAAAATTAAGTACCTCGTAGCAAAAAAAAAATTTGTCTAAAAAACAAATCAACATATTGAATCGATTTTTTTTAAATAATAAGTATACATAGGTATATTACAGACGTGATAATACATGTATTCTAAAAATTTGTTATTAACAAATAATTTAAAAATATATTCTTTAAACAGAAAATAAATAATTACGCAGGTTTCTAAAATTCTCAAAAAATTTATGTCAAAACTCACATTTTTACTATGTCTTCACACCATTTTTCTTTAAGAGCGCTGCATATCATAGTGCATGATCTCCTAAAATATTGCCTAAAAGTAGGGTTTCCTTGGAAATTAAATAGAAAAATCACCAATTACCGTCACTAATAAACTGTTCCAATGAAAACACATAATTTCCAATAACTTATTAAGCATTTATTTTTCAAAAACATCTATAATAAAAAACAAATTCTTCGGTAGAGGAAGAGAAGAGTACTATCTATATTTTATCTATTATCTATATTTTATTCGTTTTATTCGCTCGACTAAAACGATCATTCAAAATTTTGCAATGTCTTTCAAATTGTCTATTAGACATACAGGGTGCGCCAGAACTCATGCCCCAGAGAAAAATTTCAAGTAAGATAAGATACTAGGAACGTGGAAAAAAATGTTTAAAAAATTCTATCTGCCAAAAAATTTTGACATTTATTTTTTGACATTTGACATTTTTTTATATCTATTTAATGATACTGATGATCTTTTATATGTTTTTTTTACAATTATTTAGTAAAGGGACAAAAATTTTGCCAATAAAAGCCACAAATAACATTGAACAGAATTACAACTTCCTTGTTTCCTATTTTAATAGCCTATAGCAAAAAAACTTGGCAAATTATTTTTACAACAGAAATAAATAGAGTGAAAGTGCAAACTTTAAACCCTCATAACTTCGAAATTTTTATAGATAAAATTTTTTTAACATTTTTTCCATGTTCTTAGTAAACGTAAATATTTGCCGGATTACACACGAAATAGATCATAGTTGCCGCTGGTTCTAGTCTGGGGTGCAATTTTTTTTAGTTTGGTACCCATTATTATTTTTATTTTATCACATTTTACTGTTTAATAAGGTATATTTCATTATTCTAAATAATTTTTATCCCCATGAATTTATTTATAGTATTTTTAGACGTATAATTTTGATTTTTGGTCTTTGCGGCCGAACGGTGAGACCGATTTTTACCAATTGTTTCGTGCTACGTCCCCTTGCTACTAATAACCAAATTTCAAGTTTTTAGCTGTTATCGTTCTCGAGATATGCGGTTTACAGACAGACACACACACACACGACCCAATGGCCCAAACCAACTTTATTGGTGTCTTGAAGCTATAATTCGTCCAGAAATGTAAAAATCTGGGGTAGGTCAAATTTCAGCCGATTACAATACTTTCCTTATAGAATATGGAAAGTAAAAATTATTTTCCTGTTCTATACTTAATCCGGGGACATACTGTATTTTGATTGAATATTACATTCCAAGAAACTAAAAAGAAGGTATAGAATTTTTTTATCGAACTCTAACATGGTTCAGTGACTTTACTTTGTCTTCCTGTTTACATCTGAATAGAAATTTGCTGCCAGGTACAAGGTAATATCTCGATGATTATTAAAAATATTTAAAAAAAGAGAAATTCTATGTCATTATTGCTGCATTTAATGCAGCAAAATAGAAAGCGACCGCGAACTTGATTAATAAATCAGTTTATTTTAGAGATAAGAAAGAGATACTTACGTAAATAACGTAATTGTTTTTCTCTAGTGGCGTCAAATTATGCATAAAATAATAGGGTCGTAATAGAATGTTATTATTACACGCATGCATGCCAACCAGTAGTTAATAATTATTTATTTAGTTATACCGAAGCAGTTTCTCTTTTAATGTTCCAATATTTGAAAATTGAGAGGCAATTATCGATACACAACATTAGTCACAGAAATTTCAACGTGATAAATTATGTAGGTACTCTTGAAATAAAAAATTTTGTTGCGACTCAGTTCACAAAGTCATAATGCTGAACAAACTTGTTTGGTGGATACAAGTTAAACGGACGTCATTATTTATGCGAACGAAATACAATTAGTTGGATGTACCAAAGCAATACAATACCAATTTCCAGACAGTAATGTATATTTGCCGACCTAAATGCAAAATTTTGCAAATTTAAATTAATAAATTGGTCCTTCGGTTAATGAAAATAAATGTTGATTGCTACCAATTGCAAAATTTTATTTGTAATGAGCGATTTTATTTATTTTTTTCGTAAATTATAAAAGATATAAACAAACTTTTGATTTTCAAGTTTTTATTAAATAAACTTGTTTATTTACAAGATAGAAATATAACAATACAATAGGATCTGTAACAACTCTATTCTACTTGATGCTTAGTTCGACTACACTGTTGACTTGATAACACATTTGGTAGTTTCTTAAAATATTAAAGTAAAGATTATTATATACATGCATAACCAAAAACAACCAGATGACTTAAAAAATTACTAGTTTTTAAGTCAAAGCTACATTAAATGACTTTAGCACATTAAGCTCTATCTCTATCTCTAACTAAAAAATGGTAACAATAAAAACGCTTATTTAGGTACAACTTGATTTAAAATTAATAAAGATGAATAATAATTAGAAACATATTTTTACTCGTAATTTGTGGCTACTGTTTTCATTTTAAATCATGTTGAACCTGGAAACGTATTCACAAAAGCTTGTTTTAGTTTAATAAACTCTCTTCTACATTGGTGCTCAAATATTAAACTGGAATTATTGGTAACTGCGATGATTAGAGTTTCTATAAAAAATAAGTTACTTAAAACAAAATATGTTTTGTGTGTTAAATAACGTTTTAAATGATACAAAACCTGAATAAATAAATAAGTTAATTAACAGATGGATCAGTAATTATTTTGTGCTAAATTAAACAAATTTTAACCTTTATCATATATTAAATAAACGCGCATTTCTTTTAAATAATTTTGTACAATCATTTGTTATTTAAATACTATTTTATTTAGAAATATTTTGAAAAAAATGTTTAATTAAAGCAGTCTAAAAAATAGACTAAAACGGTGTTAGTCGTTTAGAGTGCTGTAGTTTATTTGTTTTATCCAAAACTAAATAAAATGGTATTTTACCATTACTAACGAGTTTTGAGAAAACCTTGGTAAGGCAAGAAAATAGTATTTACAAATGACAAAATTAGAAAATATTTAGAAACTAATTAAATGAAAATGACAATCACTTACTCTAGAAAAACACAAACCGTAAATTTCTTTTCCCAATATAAATTCTTTTTGCATCATTGATTATCGTTGCTGGTGAATAAATATTACAATATTGCTTAAAAAATATAAACAAAGAACTGCGGTCAAATAAAAATAACAAAATTTTTGTATTTTATAATCTGACCCATCTGTTGGTAAGATAGATGCAGTATAAATGTCAATATGAATTTTAATTTTAATAATTAATCACATTAAAATCTAATTTATATAAAAAAGTGTTGAAACATATATTAACTATTACTACATATATTGTTTAATCCAATCAATTTAGTTAACCGGTGTAAAATTAAAAGTGCGGACATTTTTAATGCATCTAATATTTTGTGTAGATATGTTAGAAGCAAATGACGTTCACAAAACACCCTTTAAGCCTCTTTTTGAATAAAAAAAATCAATTAATGATTAAAGAAAAACGTTTTAATCATTTGTTTAAAATCCATTTTTGGAATTTTTGGAATGGAAAATTTTTTCTTCAACCACGTCTCCTTAATGAAATCACTACCTTTCTCAGCAATCATAATCGTAGGAGCATTTGTGTTACCTCTAGTAACTCTGGGCATAATTGAAGTATCAATAACTCTCAAATTTTTAATACCATACACTCGCAATTTCGGATCAACTACCGCAAAAGGATCATGTTTCGGTCCCATTTTACAAGTACCAGCATAATGGTACATGGTACTAGTATAAGATCGGACTAAACACAACCAGTAGTCATCAGTACCAAACGAATATCCATCACAGGCGGCCACAGGTGTAGTTATCAAACTCACTCCAAGTCTTTGCATGGCGCGAGTTTTGAGTAAATTCAAACTTTGCTTAATTCCTTCAACCATCGTCAAAGCATCTATTTGCTCGTTAAATGTGTTTGAGTAAATTAGAGGGTAACCATAAATGGGGTCAGTACTATTCAATTTAATAACACCTCTGCTTCTCTGGTTGAGCAAAATTGGACGAATGATAAAACCGTTATAATAAGCAAGAGGGTAGACTTTAGTCCCGGAAGCCAAAAGTAGATCAGTTACGTAATCTACAACATTTGCTGTATCAATAGAATATTGCATGTCAGGTCGCCCAGGTTCTAACTCGTACTTTGTTTGTACGAAAGTATTTACTTGCAAAGGACCTGTCGAGGATAAAGGACCCGCTTGTTCCTCTCTGTAGTAGAAAACATCGCGAGTTACTTGCTCCGGTGGTACAAGTGTAGCTGATTCGTTGTTTATTTGCAACAAAACACCATCGGTGGTTGGATGATCCATCAAATTGTAACCCACTGCAAGATCTTTGATAACTTGGATACCGAAATTTTGTAAATGATGGGCTGGGCCAACCCCACTCAACATCAAAACTTTGGGCGTCATAATAGTCCCACAGGAGACAATAACTTCTTTCCTTGCTCTAACTTGAATTAATTTTCCATTTTTTTCATACTCCACACCAAACGCGACCTTGGTATGGGGGTCAATGAGCACCCTAATAATGTAAGCCTTAGTCTCAATAGTCAAATTCTTTCGTTTCCTCCTAATAGGTCTAATAAACGCAAGATTTGCACTCTCTCGTCTTCCACTTCTTGTCGTGGTTTGAAGCATCATAGTTCCAATTTGTCTTCCGGCGTTTTGATCAATGACAGGTAGTCCCAACTCTTGGAAGGCTTCAAACAACGAACGAACGTTAGATTCTTGATATTGGAATCTTTCGACGCTGAGATAACCCCCAACCCCATGCGCCTGGCGCTCTACAGTATCAATGTTGTGGTTATCTTCAGATTTCATGAAATAAGGAAGGACTTCTCTCCAGGACCAACCAGGATTGCCCGCTTCAGCCCATTCGTCATAGTCTCGAGGGTTTCCTCGGATATAGATCATATAGTTGATTGTGGAGGACCCACCCATCACTCTACCTCTTGCCCAAGAACATTGCCCATTCTGGCGGGCAAGACAACTATTAGGGTCAGGTTGGGTCGAGAAACCCCAGTCGATACTGGACTGTTGCAAAGCGGGGGCAAATGCGGGTACGTCGGCCACTTCTGGTTCTTCGTCTCCAGCTTCCAACAGCAGAACCTAGAAAAGAAAAGCTGTTATAGTTTTTCTGAAATCAATATTTAATTGCAATGTACAGTCTGTTTTTTTTTAATGGAAATAATTACCAAATCATGTTAAAAAACTATCTATAAAAATTTCTAAATTAGTTTGAATTTTGCACTTTGACTCTATTTATTTCACTTGGAAAAATAATTTTCCAAGTTTTTTTGGTACGCTGTTTAATGTTATTTGTGGCTTTTATTGGCAAAATTTGTGTAAAGTCTGTTTTTTCTCTAAATGGAAATTACCAAGTCAAAATTTCGGTGAAAAAATTGGTAGCAGCTTGTCTCCATAACCACGAATTTTGTTTGCTCTTTTTTTGCTCTTAGAAATTTTGTTAAAAAATTATGGTTATGTTTTCAAATTTTGACTTTTATGAATCTTGTGTGCTTGTTTGCTCTTTGAAAGCGCTATAATTGAATACCTGAGGACAGGCATCATTACCTAAGGTCTAAAGACAGAATTCAGTGCTAAGAATTTTGACAGAAACACACCGCAAGTAAGTACAATGTTGTGGACAAAAATGAGATTCTTGCTACAAAAACTTTGAAGAAAAAGGATGTATATACAGAAAAAAGTTATTTAGCAAAAGATACAAGTTAGTATTATGATGGTTGGCAATAAATTTTGTATAATTGATTGAAATGAGCTCAAAGTTGAGGTATTTTATAAATTCTTCTTCAGCTTTAGTTTCAAAATTGTTACTTTTTCAACACGTTCCTCAAAAACTATGCACAAGACGCTAGTTTAATTGCGTTCTTTCCGAGGTTCTCTCTCATTCATGTTAATTTTGTATTCTTGTCAATTTTTTTGCTAAAAATTAAGAATGTTTAGCAAACCTGCGTCTACATTTTAACGGGCCCTTTTTCTAACTTCTTGCTTGCGAACTATTCGTTTCCAAATTTCGAAAAACTGTTAGTGTACCGAATTTGTTTCTTTTTTGGTGTTTCGTCTCTAAATTTTCTTAGACTATTTTTTGTGTTGACGTATAATGACATTGTTTTCAAATTAATTGAAAAAACCGGAACTGCCAACTTCCTTTATTAAAATTACCATGAATGAATTTACTAGTAATGCCAACGTTAAGACTGTTTGGCATTTCCATTAAAAAGAAAACAGACTTTACAGTAATTTTACCTGTAAAGCATCAGGTTTAAATAACAAGACAAATAGTAAATCAACCTCAAATTTCATTAAAAATTTTGTGTTTTCTAAAATTAAATACGGCACACATTATTTCTAATTGAAACTTGACTGTAATATGCTTTAAAATCCATATAACACTGTAATTCTTTTAAAATGTAAAATGGCATTATCCTTCACGGTTAGAATTAATGTACCGTACATCCATAGACTTAACTCTAAAACCATTAAACATAAGGATATGTCTCTTCAAATTTTCCATTCTTGTTATTTCAATACAGATAATGGCATTTTTTAGAATCTTGACTGAAATTCCATTAATTTTCCATTAATTTTTTTAACAGCCTGAAGCGAAAATACGCAGTGTCAAATGGGAGTAATGACAATAATTTACCTTGATTTAGCACGGGTGCTAAAATAAGAATAAAAATTGTAACAAAAATTCTCTTTGGTTTTATAACTAATAATTAATAATAATAATTAATAATAATAATTCTCTTTGGTTTAATTTTTTTTTATTTTTAAATAATTGTTATCTCAACACGCTTAAGTAGTAAAGTATGATTTGATATTGTATCAAATGTGGGTTATTTTAATAAATACAAAAAATCCTCTTCTGATGAAAATGTCTGTTGTTGAAGGTACCTCAGCTGGTAGACAGATGAATCACCATTTGAATTGGGTTACCATTTTAAATTAATTCGAGTGTAAAGAAGCAGAACGAAAGCAAGACTTTACAGTTGCAAGTGAGATTTACGAAGAAAAATGTCACAATATTATTTTATTTGAAATCAATCAGACCCTACAGTTGCGTAAATGAGCATCATTTATTTGTATATTTTTTTTGGTTGAGTTTTTGAGCTACCTTAGACCATTGTTTTCGGTGACAGAAATCAAATATTGTTCACAAGTGAGATAAAGTACTCACAAGTGAGTAAATTTGACTATTATATTATATTTACTATTATATTTTTATAGGTGAATATTTTACTTGAATAAAACTTCATTTTTTGGACCTGTAAGATAAAACGTGGTATATCACACGTGATCGAAATGCCATTATGAAACTCGTGAGAAGTGTCAAAATTCTCACTCGCGTATAATGATACATTTCTATCACTTATAATATAATGTACTATTAAATAAACTGTTTATTACTAAAAATTTCAAATAAATAGAAATTTACGTCTTCTTTACTGAGTAACATTTTTTTTCTTCTGAACTTATTTTCAAGGTATTAATAACAACATTCCTCTCAAACTGATATTACATTTTGCTGTTCGTTTGATTTAATAAAGTAAATATTTTAACAGGACTCAGATATCTTTTAATGAATAGAATAAAGGGATCCTGTTGGTATTTTTCTGCAGCATTATTAAATTTTCTCTATAAAAAAACAATTGAATATTCGCAATAATGCATGTACACGTATGTAACAGATAATTACTCAATTAATACTTTCCAAAGAAGAAACATAATTACTTGTTTTGAACTATTTTCACAAAGGAAGTTGTATTAGAAAATGCTAGAATAATGTCAATATCATTGCCATATTATAAATGATAATTTAGGAGGTTGATATTTATTACATAAATTATTACATTAAAGAGACTAGTACTATGCAAAAAAGCTGGTAATTTCGGACCTAATCTCATTGAATCACATTCACACGCAATCATGCTTTAATTATTATTTTGCAGAGCAAAACCAGTATTAAATCAATGAACTCACGTAAACAGTAACTTATTATATTGTTAATTTTTTATTGTTTGTACTACTGTACTTCTCGACCTTACAAAGTAAACGAAAAAGGTTATTTCGCCTGTGACGCAGTTAAAGCTTTTTGAAGAGGAATTTTTAGGAGTTTAGTTTTTCTAACTCCAATCGAGGAATTTTGTGAAAAGTTCACTGATGAATTACTGATGGCAACCTTCAACGCTCGGGCCATCGACCACTAACATGTGTCATGCGGAACCAATGTATTTTTTAGAAGGAAGTTTTCCGGAGTTTACGAATCGCTTAATTAAAAACAGTTTTTACGCCTTACCTTCGACGAAATTACAATTCTTTAACGAAAAAAAATTGTAAAGGTTTAAGTCAAAATTTACTGTGAAACTACAGATTCTAAACTGGGAAACATTTTAATTAATCTCTTTCGTGGTGGATCGTAAAATGCAAAATTAACATTTTACATATTAAAAAGTAAAGCCCACAAAATACATAATCAATTTGTCTCACTTATATCCCAAAATGATGCAAGTAGGTTTTATTGTTATCGAATAATAAAGCATAAGAATAAATGTTTAATTATGCAACACTATTTTATATTGTCCAAATAAATAAATAACCAATTTACTGAGTCCGTTATACATTCCACCAAAATATTCTAATATTTAAATTTTCAATTATTAATCTTGTATATGAATATGTTGCTTAACAATATCAGATCTTGTGACAATGGTAAATTAAACTTTTTCAACAAACCGCTCACTTTTTTTAACACACTGTAGTAGGTGAGAGTATGAAATAATGTATGTTATTGCAAAAGTCAATAAAAAAGTTTACATAATTCAAAAGTGACTAAAAATTTGATAATAGTTTTTTTCTATTTATTTGACATAACAATAACACAAATATTTTATTACTCAAATACTTGCTATACAATCAATTTTTTTATTTTGTTCTGCATAACAATACGTTTGAAATAAAAACTTGTACAAAAGTGGCTCAATCACTATAATAAAAGTAATTCGCCAATTCCTAAATTCCTTTTAGGGATTGGGAAATACATTATTCTATATAATAATAATTTACGTAGGATTGTCATCTTTATCAAATGTTAAAAACACAATTTATTTACATACAATAATCATTTTTATTAGAAATTCAGTTATTTTATTATTTCAAAATATGACTATGAATAAAATAGCATACAAACCTCGGTTGAAATTTTATTTTATCATCGGGCTGCATCTAATGTAGCAGTTGCACCTCTTTAGTTAGTGAGAAAATTCTTCTCATAGTTATAATAGTTATTTATGTTATAAGTGTTAGAAACGATCTATTGCACTACGAACGATAATATTGCGCGAGACATGTAAGTCAGTAACGCAATGGAGTTTTCACAAGCGTAACATACAATATTTTTTGTGCTGCCTTTTAAAAAAATTACATTTTTCAATCAATAATTATTAAAATAAATATTATTAGTTTAGTTACAAAATTATGTTAGTATTCAATTTATCACTAAATAAATGTGTCAGAATTCGCTGCCCAGAGACTTATTTTTTGACATTTGACATTTTTTTATGTCAATAACATTAAACAAAGTTACAATTTAGGATACAGCTTCCTTATTTTCTCTTCTAATAACACATAGCAAAAAAGCTGGGAAAATTATTTTTTCAACAGAAATAAATAGAGTCAAAGTGCAAAATTTAAACTCTCATAACTTCAAAATTTTTATAGATAGAATTTTTTTAACATTTTTTCATGTTTCTGGTATCTTACCTTACATGGCATGTCACGTTCTCCAACTGATATCATAATTTTATGATTAATTTCATTAATAATAAGTAATAACAAATAATTTGTTTGCCTGTCTTGAAAGTTCAATAGATAACTACCTTAAGACTAAAACATTTTAGCATTTTGAAAATATTTATAAAAAACCTAATTGTCTATCATTTGCTGATAAGCAGGTTTTTTGACTTGAATTTCTTGTTTGTATTTTGCAGCGCTGAGGTTTTGTCAATTGCAAATATGGCAGCACAAAAATACTATATTCACCTCGATTTCTAACTTTGTTTTTACTGAATTATTCTTTGTTTTAAATATTTAAGAACATTAATGACAGAAATTGAACATACTGTATTCGTGTCACATATTTTATCTTCGCACAAATACATACAAGGGCGCCAAAACTCGCATCTTTTGACATTTATTTTTTGACATTTGACATTTTTTTATATCTATTTAAAAATACTGATGATCTTGTATATGTTTTAAAAATTTTCAAACTTTGTTAAAAATATTGAAACCTAGAAGTAACAGTTTTTTTAGTAAACCAACGCTGTACGAATTTATAAATGAGATATTTCAATAATACAAATAGTTGTATTTATTTATAATACGAGTGTGATTGAAATATGTCAAATATTGATTTTCGAGACGACTTTGCAGTACGTTTTTGTGACAACTAAGAGCGATAAACGATAAGGTCAGTGTTTTCAGTAAAGATAGTCATAGAGTATATGTATAATAAACACCATATTTGTGTCAAACCGATTATATAACAAATGAAGTTATATGTTGTAATATTTATAGTTACAATGATAATAATTTATGATAAATATGTAAAAGCGATTTATTTTTTGTAGTTTTGTTTTAAATTTCTATCAGTTCATTAAAAGTAATTTTTTTGTAAATTTAAAAATGCCTGTGATAGCCCCAATATTTTGAAAAATCAACTCTCTTTAAATATCGATTCTTAAAACTGTTTCATTTTTTATAGTAATAATTTAATTATACATTTAACTAATTTTCCTGCAAAAGTAGAAGTTTCAATTACATCATACATTAACGACTGATCAAGTAACAAGGCTGCAGCTGCAACATCAAACAAATTACATAGTAGATCACCTAGAACTTGACTCTACAGAAAGCTTCCGTTTTACTCAATATTGAAAACTATACTTTATAAAATTCTAATTTCTTTTCAAGATACATAATTTGTAAAATTAAATGTTTTATTTTAACAAAATTAAACCTTTGATAGAACCAAATGTTCATTTTTGTTTCTAACAATTGATTGAACATTTTGTAATATTAGTTTTAAATTAAATTTAAATGAACTGTTGTTATTGATATGAAATGTATCAATTACGAGTAGAAATGTATTTATACACAAAATTACTTTTAAATTCGTCAGTGTGAACATCAAAGCAGAAAATGTATTTTCAGATTCGATTATACAGGGTGTTCCGTTTTTATTGTTACAAATTTAAGCAGGTGCTAGGATATTCAATTTTAAAATAAAAGTTTCCTATAAACATGTATCGAAAAATACTAAATAAGGGAGCTACATCCCCTGAAACAGGTGCATCTTTTAATGGATTTCTTGAATTATTTCAGCAACCATTGTAGATAAAATTTCAAAATTTGGTACAACTGAAAACCTTTATAATTTACAGTTTTTTTTTTTATAATTTACAGTTTACAGGCCATAAAGAGGATAAAAATTAGATTTGTTTCACCGTTTAAGACACCCGTAATTAAAAATTTTGACAACTGATCTTTGAATTTGTTCTTTTGTAATTTTATCAATTCTGTAATAGTGGAAAACCCCATTAAAAACGCATCTCTTTCAGGGGATGTAGCTGGCATACGTAACATTTTTTGATACATGTTCATAGGAAACTTTTGTCTTGAAATTGAATATTCTATCACATGTGTAAACACCCTGTATAACTACAATAATTTTTCTCATAATTAGGATTTTCCATAATCTGATGCGAAACGAAAGTTTCCCAGAAAGCACATAATAATTACCATTCATTACACTGAATGGATGAATGAATGAAAACAAAGTCATTGATGATGCAAAACCTTGATCGCACATTGATCACTAAGGCTCGGATTATATGCACGAAAAATTCGTAAAATATGCCCATATATATGCACGTATTTTCACAAAAATATGCACACAATATTAAAAAATATGCTCCAATATATGCCAAATATGCATCGATCTGCAAAATTTTTAACAATAAAAAATCAAAGTTGGGATAAATTTTTATCCTCGAATACACTAAACTTTGTATTTTCGTCATCTTGAACGATAAATGAATGAATAAATAAATTGGTTTGTTGTGAGACAAGCCATTTTAATAACCTAGTAATTAACCCTTTCTAAAAAATCTGTACTTTTCAGATCACAACACGTTTTTTTCTTAAAGTATTTATTTTTTGAAAAAACTAATTGATGAATTATAAAATTCTATAGAAATATGTTTTATCAAAAATAAAATTTTTCAAAATTTTTATTTTTTCGTTTTTGAGTTCTACAAAAATATTTATTTTTTTAAATAGCAAACCACCAAAAGAAACATTTTTCTCATGAAGGTCAAGATCTAAGGGATTACAACTATCTACTTTATATTAAATTATTTTTTTTTACATATGTATGTCGTAATTTAGTCAACAAAAATCGAATAACTCAAAAACAAAACAAAATTTTGTTTAAAAAAAATCATTTTTTTATGTTACTTTAATTTTATTAATTATTATTTTTTGGAAACAAATGATTTAAAAAAACCGCTTGGTTCAATACTTTATATTCACCCTGTATAAAACAAATTTAAAAAGGAAAGACTTAGCAGGGTACTAATTTTTTGAGTTTGGCTTACGAATTACCGGTTGTTTTCTCCTTAAAATATTTTGTAACTTGAACTGAAATTTTTAATTGAAAATTAGTGATTTGAAGAAAATATGCAATATTTCCAAAAATATGCACCAAGTTGCCAAAATCTGCAAAATATGCATTTTTTAATGGGCTTATTTTAATCAAAAAACATTAGATATGCATAGAAAACTTACAATTTTGTTGATATACCTCTTAATGACAAATATGCATTTTGCATATAATCCGAGCCTTATTGATAACGTATTAGAAAAATTAAAAAAATTAAGTGTGGTACTTACACTCCATGAGGGTATTTCCGTAAGTCGATTAGCCAGCACACATCCTGCACTTCCTGCACCTAGCACAATAAAATCATACTCTCGTTCTCTCGGCTTATGATACTCATCACTGCCGGGGTACCCGTAAATATTTGAACCAAAATCGTAACCACTTTGCCCGTAGTCGTATTCGGAATCAAGAGATTGTCCAAATAATTGCGTGATGAGTTGCAGGAACAAAAAAGTCGGTGGTTGGCAACTGGTAAGGTTGGTATACACCGCACATGATTCTGCTAAATTCGGAGGTATCCAAGACATGCTGACACTAAGGCGTACACTGAACTAAGCGCTTTTAGATCAGGTGCAGAAAGTACATGCTTAGATATTATGCGTTAGCTTTTTTCCACTTAACTGTCGCGCCCTTCCACGACGGGCTTTCACGATTCGGTGTTTCTTCTCCAGTCTTTGTCTAGCTTAAGTGTCCTTATGCGAGTGGGCAACCAGGACAAAGGTAAAGGCTTCTCAAACCAGATCGGGACCAATTTTTACATCGACTCTCGTCCTCGGCAAAAATTTATGCCTATTTGCGTTAATTTTCTTGCCTTTCACTGATATTTCCATTATTTAGAAAGGTTCAATACTTGACGAAAAATTTTACTATGTAGACCAGGTACCACGACTGGAAATATATTAAAAATTCAACTTTTATTAAAAAACTAATAACTAAACACTGACTGACCGCAACATCCGACCGATAGGCTATTTCTGAAGCAAGATAGGAAATTGCTTCGCTTCAGTGCTCGTTATTTGAATCTCGCTGCACTTTTTCAAACAGTTGAACAATTTAGAACTGTTGCAAAAATCTTACCGGCTGAAACGAATTTTTCGTAACTAATTCGCTCAAAATTGTTGTTTTTACTTACGTACCATATAGACCGTCTTTACCAACTTTCTTCTATGTCGTAATTGCCAAATTTTTAGTGGTCACTGAATAAATTAAAACTTATAATAAAAGTGAATAAACAATCCTAGATAAAAGGACTGGAAAATTATTGCGGTAAACCACCTCTAAAACGCAATTATTTATTACTTTTTTATTTACATTCTTTTCGTTCAAGAATTAATAACACTATAATACAACTCATAAAAATTATTGTCACAATACTTAAACAAAATATCTTACGAATTGGTGGAGATTAATTTGACATTTATTTGTAACTGCTTAGATAAAAAAATATTAAAATTATATACCATGAAATAAACCAAAGAAAAATGTTAAATTTGCTCTGTCACTTGCTAGATTCAGTAAGTTGCAAAGTGACGTCAAACACTTCCAAAAACAATAATAATTTATTGGGTTTTTTCACCTTACGTTAAGTGGTAGTTTCCGGTAATTTTCCTTTCTTCACTGAAATTGATGATTATATGGAAAATGCATATTTGTAATTAAGAGGTATATCAACAAAATTATAAGTTTTCTACGCATATCTATTGTTTTTTGTTTAAATAGACCAATTAAAAAAATGCTTATTTTGTCAACTTCGTGCATATTTTAGGAAAAATTGCATATTTGTGCATATTTTTTTCTAATCACAAATTTCTGATTAAAAAAAACGGTAATTCGTAGGCCGGACTCAAAAAATTAGTATCCTGCTGAGTGTTTTCTTTTTGAATTCGTTTTATACAGGGTGAATATAAATTATGGAACTAAGCGTTTTTTTTTTTTAATCATTTGTCTCTAGAAAATAATACTTAATATAAATTAAAGTAATATAAATATGTGATTGTATTTTGAGAAAAACAATTGT